GAACTGCAGATAACAGTCAACTGAAGTGGCCTGCAGTACTGCACCCTAACCACTGCGCCACCTCGGCTCCTTCCCAGTGCCGTGACCCTTTAATATAGTTCCTCATGTTGTGGTGACCCCCAACCATAAAATTATTCTCGTTGCTATGTAACTGTAATTTTGCTACTATTATGAATCGTAATGTAAATCTCTGATAAGCAGGAATGTATTTTTATTGTTACACGTTGAACATAATTAAAGCATAGTGATGAATCACAAAAGCAATATGTAATTATATATTGTGAAATATTTAATTCTAATTGCAGATAAATGAATTTTTGTCTTGAAGCGTGGGATAGCAAGGGGGCCGGCAAACTTAAACACTCAAAGAGCAATTTGGATCCGTTTCCCACAGAAAAGAAAACACCAGGAGCCACAAAAGCTCAACCCCAGTGAAGGCATGCACCCTGTAGGAGCTCCCGGGCAACAACAGTCGCTGAAAAACACCCGCATGGGAGGCCGGCTGGACTGGCCTGCTGGGAAGCCCGTCAGTCTTCTGGCTCCTCCCCTTCTGCCACACGGGGAACCCGAGCCACTCCTTCCCTTCGGGCTGGCTTCTCGCCAGCCTCTCCGCGGGAGGTTCCTCGGCGACCCCTGGGAAAAGGTCATTTGACCCCCAAAGAGGTCGCGACCCACAGGTTGAGAACTGCTGACCTAAAAGAATCCTTGAAAAGCAGAACTAAGCGGAATTATGCTACTACATTTCCAAAATTCCTATAAGGGCACAAAGTTTTTTTTTTTTCCTCTCAGTTGAATTTTTATTTTGCAAACTGGCATGTGGAATAAAAATGCTTCCAAATAATAGCGCCCCCCCCATTTCCCATATTTAGGAGAGGCTTTCTAAAGTTATCATACAGTCAAATTGTACTGGCATGACATTTTCAAGCAATTCAGTAAATGTGAATTGTACATCACGCCCAGTTATACGCAAACATCTGGACCTAGCTTCATCTTGTAAACAAATTAAATAACAAGATTTTCCATGTGCATTGTAGTTAAACCAGAGGTCACCGAAGCCAAACCAACCAGAAGGTGCTTCAATTTATCTCTGTCATATGGTTGAGACCTCGAGATGGCTAGAAATCAATATTTGTAGTCCGAATTGATAAAGGCCTTTCACCTCGAGGTCATCAGTTCAAAACCAGTCCACGTGAACCCTGACCAAAGATTGAGTAGTCTGTTAATTTTATTTAGCCAATTCTGGCAGACCACATCTGAGGTGCTATGATTCCTCTTAGTGCTGTGACTTTTCAAGGCAGGGCCAAAGATCCAAATAAGGCTTTTAGTTTTAGATGTACTCCACCTGTGCCCAAGCTCTTTTATTATTTCACTGCCCTGCTGAGTTTTGTGGAAAATATTGGGTTCCTATGATACTGCCAGGCACTACAAGAGAGTCTTCCTTTTGGGACTTATGCTCTTCTGAAGTGAGCAGGAAAACAATTTGATTCAGGTTTAGATTTATTCGATTTATATGCCGCCCTTCTCCCTAGGACTCAGGGCGGCGTACAACATTAAAAGAAACATATAAT